CAAATTCTGAAGAATCTGAGAAATCGGGGGAGATATTCATTCATGATGGACTTCTTATTGAGGTTAAGTTTAACCTCGGAAGGAGTAAACAGTTGCAGGTACCACAGGTTCTAATTAGGTTAATTAATTTAAGAAAATTATACATTAGGATATTTATTTTAATTGATTAAATTAATTACATCTGATTTGATTAGTTAGATTATTTGATTCGATTAGGCTAGAATTATAAGATTAAGGATAATAACATTTTGGTGAAATAATTTTTTATAGCTTCGGTTTAAACGAAACTAGTACGTACCCCGTGCGATGCACGGAACATAGATATTAAATGAGTTATTTTAACTGCCTTGTCCGTTTAAATCTTAAAAGTAATAGTGTTATTATCTATTTTCTACCTCTTTTGATCAATGTTAAGTCTACAAAATAATAAGGTTATAAGTTTTTTTTCATATCTTTTAACCAGCATTGTTTTTTAGCCAGAACTTAAATATGAGTATGTTAGGGCTAGCTTGTAAAATAATTAATATATTATCTCACTAAAATATTTATACTAATAAAACTTTAATTTCAGTATATAAATTTATCCCTTGATATAAGAAAAAAGTAACAGTTTTATTTATTCTTGTTTATCATATAATATTTAATTATTATTTTATTATATAATAAAAAAGAATAGTGTTAAATAGTTTTTTTAACACAAAGATAATATTAAAAAAATATAAATATCCATACAAATATACGAACTAAGTTTTTCTAATAGTTTTTTATAAGTTTTATAAAAATATATTATAATATGTTAGTGTATTATTCAAAATCGTAATATTGATTTGTAGTTTTTAGAAACAGAATTTTGATTGTTTTTGCTCACCCCATTTTATGGAATTTTTTTATGTCAAGATAAGAAGGATTAAAAACAATATGTAAAATAGGAAACTTGATTAAAATTATAAATGCATTAATTACTACTTGATAAAATTAGAAGTTCATTAATTAAAGTTGACTTTTCTACCTACTATATTTAGTAAATAGGTTTCCTTTTAATATAAGTATAGATAGATTACTCAAACTTAAATAAATTCTAGCTCCGCTAGGATCATGCTCAATTAATTTGTTGATGAATTTCTTAAATCTTGAAAATTTTACTAAACATAGTTATACTAATGACTAGTACAACACCCGTGTATTACACGGGTTTTTGTTAAAAATTATTTTTAAATTTTAAAATTAATGAGAAAACTATATTAAATTTAGTTTACTTTTTTACAAAAAAAAAAAGCATATTACTATATATTTTAGAATGATATGTGTTACTTATGACTTACATGTGTTATATTATATTAGTTTTTATAACTTATATCATATAACTACTTGAAATATAAATATATTAGTTGATAAATAATTTTATTTTTCTAATTAATATTAAAAATAATTTTATTATTGTTATAAAAATAAATATAAATTATTTTTTTATACATACAATATGGTGTTAAATCGAAACTCATCAAAAGAAAATTAATTTGATATATTACATATGTAAAACTGATAAAAAATACAAAAGTTATTAACTTTTAAAATATATATATACAATTCAATAGTTATAATAAGGGCATCTCCAATGGTAATAGTTATTACGAGCTATATGGTTAGCTGACGTGGATGTGAGAGATAAGAAAACTAACTATTTTACATTATTGGACCCACATACTCCTCTCACATAATCTTGGGCTACGTGAAATAGATAAGCTATTTGTTAGTAGCTAGTGATTACTCTCTCTCTTACTTTTCCCCTGTCCACGTCATAATAGTTAGCCAAATAGCTAACCATTGGAGACGCCCTAAGGAATGATATTAAAATACAATTAATACATGTAATATGACAATAAATAATCAACATATTTATGGTAATCCGAACCTAATTATTTTTGGTTTGGAATTAAATTAAAATTTACCTAAGCCTAATAACGAAACATATAATTTTGCCACATAGGATTCCGAAGCACCAGAAGCAGCCACGTAGGCTCAGCGCGTTCTGTATTAATATATAGGGGGGATTATAATAATATTATTTATTATTATGATTTTAATTAAATGGGAAAAAAGGTTTTTTGGTCCTTTATCTGCAGGCCGTTTTCACTTTGGTCCCGTAAATGGCCCGTTTTTGGAAATAGTCTCCTAAGTGAAAAAAAATTAGTTTTTTGGTCCTCTGACCGCCTACATCAGGTCAGATTTATTGGCTGCCTACGTGGAAATTCGCTCGATTTTTTTTTTTGCTGAGTTGTATGCTTAGGTGGCGATTATGTGGCATAATTGTAAAAATATGCTAAAGAGAGGATTCGAACCCAAGTCCAATGGGGGAGTAAAAGAGCTCATGGACCACTTGAGCTAGCAAACTTTTTGTTAAATATTTAACTTTAATTATATATCTACCAACATCGTTTTATCTAATTTATATTATTCAATTTGTACTACATTTATATTTTAATAATTTTTTATATGTTAAATAAATAGTATGTAATAATTTTCTAAATACATATTTTAACGTATTTAATTAAATTAATTGCAAGATTAAATAAATATTTATCAAAGAAATGAATAAAATAAATAATATAATAAATAATAAAATTTACCAAATAAATAAATATATTAAATAATATAATAAATAATATTCCTTACCAAAAGAATAAATACATTAAATAATATAATGTATAATATATTCCAAATAAATACATAAACTAAATAGTATAAAAAATAAATAATTATTTAATAAATAAATATGTAAATTAAATAATATAGTAAATACATATTATAAATAAATATAATAATTAATATGATTAATTTTTATTTCTATATTAAAAATATTTACTAAATAATAAAATATATTGAATAATGTAATAAATAATATATTAAATAATATAATTAATTTGTATTTCTGTATTAAATAAATATTGATCAAATAAATAAATATATTAAATAATATAAGAAATAAACAAATATTTACTAAATATATACATCTATCAAATATTAAATAAATGTATTAAATAATATAATAAATAAATATACTAAATAATATAATAAGTATTAATATTTACCAAAAAATATATTAAATAATATAATAAATAAATAAATATTTAGTAAAATACATATATTAAATAACCTAATAAATAATATAATATATTAATTACGAACTAAAAATAATTAAAATTAATACATAAAAAATATTTTATATTATTTTATTTTTTGTTTATATGCTTTATTTAATTATATTTTTTCTAATTTTTATTATTTACTAAATTTATTATTTATTCTATTATTTATTATTTTAATAATTAAATATTATTATATTATTTAATATATTTATTTATTTATTATTATTTAATAATTTATTATTATATTTACTTATTAGTAAATATTTATTTAATATACTAATAAAATTAAATGAATTTAATAATGTATATTAGTATAAAAAAATTAATGATAATAAACATTTGATTAAACATTATAACTGAATAATATTCATTCATTTTTTTAGATATATATATATATATACATATAAACAATGTAATTAAATAATATTTATTCATTAATGGTAATAAAAATTTTATTAAACAATGTAATTAAATAACATTTGAATAATGTATATATATTATTAGATAAAATGATATTGGTAGATATAAAATTGAAGTTAAATAATAAATATTATGGGTGTTAGCTCAAGTGGTTCAAGTGCTCTTTTACTTCCCCATTGGATTGGGGTTCGATCCCTCTCCTTGTATTTTTTTGCAATTATGGCACATAATCGCCACCTAAGCATCCAACTCAGCAAAAGAATAAAAAATAAAAAAAATTGAGCGAATTTGCACGTAGGCAGCCAGTAAATCTGACCTGATGTAGACGGTCAGAGGACCAAAAAACTAATTTATTTTCACTTAGGGGACTATTTCAAAAAACTGTCCATTTACGAGACCAAATTGAGAAAGACATGCAGATAAAGGACCAAAAAATTTTTTTTTTCCAAATTAAATGCATGAAAATGATATCTTCAAAACCGGGACGCTACTTGAGTTGTTTAAACTTGTATTTAGTTATGAGTTACTAGGAAATATTGAATACTCTTTGGAACTCTATTTCCAACACATTTTTTATTGACCTCATAGAAGTGTCTTTAGTATTAGGATTTTATCAGTGTTAGTTGCATGTAGCTTGTATTTTTTTTTTT